TTTAAAGGTTCAATGCGTGACATCTCAAAAGTTTTAATCCTTTTTTGGCACTTGCTCCTCTACTTGACACGATTATAAGACACTTCCCCGAAGGATGTCAAATGAATGTCAATAAAATTTGGGATTGCTTAAGTTTATCATTATACCTCAACACAGGTCTTTCCACTTTCCGAGAACCATCATTCTTTTAGCTGTACATAAGGACTTTATATGTCCTTTCATATCTCATGTCCACGTCCTAGTAAGATGATAAACTACATCCGCGTCCTAGTAAGATGATAAACTACATCCGCGTCCTAGTAAGATGATAAACTAAGTCCGACAGCAAGGCCTCTGATCAGGTGGTTTTGAGGAGCGTGGAACCACCTCTTAATTGCTGGTTATCCCAGGCCCACCTTGTCCCGGAGTGGTAGCACCTGTTAGAGTCCCAGAGGTGGGCAAATAGTTAACCCACAAACTGGAGTGAAAACACTAAGAAAGTGTAGAAATAGGATTTAATACCAGAAATACTTTGTAAAAATTATTACCAGCAATAAATTTTTGAAGGAAAAAATTATTACCAGCAATACATTATTACCAGCAGAACATTTTTGAAAAAAAAAATATCACCAGCAATAAAAATTTTGTCGGCATTACATAACCCATTTCCGTAAACCAAACCAAACTTTCTTAACTCATGCGAGCAACATGCCAAGCCCAGCGAAACTGGTTACATTAGAAATGTCTGTATGCCTCACACGTTGCAAACAGATTAATACTAGTTATTTTGTCTTTCAAATTGTAGCCATACTTTGTACGAACCCCGTTTATGGAAAAATATCACGTTGGCGAATACGGGTCCAGTAGGGGTTCCAGTTTTCTGGGTCAGAATTGCAACAGACGGTTTACGTTAAGATTGGTTTTCAAGGAAATTCCTCTGATATTCCACGCTCGTTTATAGAATTTTTGAACAAGTAATTCAGTGTTTAGGCCATTTTCAAAGTGTTCTGTCCATCGAAAGAAGATACACTTTTTTTTGTGAAAAAAAATTGCCTATCAGACGAAAGAACGAGATAAGATCTATTTTAATTTGAAAAAAGACAGTGCCTTGAGACCCTCCCCCCGTAGAACGATTCTCAGCTCTTTCTGTCAGAGTCCTATTGCAATTCTGCGGCTTTTACTGACCATCATACTTGCTTTATGCTACGAAAACTACATATGCTGCTAGTATGCCTTGTAAGCCTTCTTTGGTCGATATGATTCCGTAGAAGACGTCCAAGAAATTCGATATAGTCCTGAGTATGACGACAAACTACATCTGGCAGCAAGGCCTCTGATTGGTAGATTGAAGATTTTGAGGAACGTGTAACCACCTGTTAATTACTGTTGTTCCCATCTCCATCCTGGTAGAACCTGTTAGGGTCCGAGCTATGTGCAAATAGCGAACCCCGAACAAAAACAAAACACTATGAAAGTATAATAATACAAGCAATACTTTTTATATAGTAAAATTACCAACAATACCTATTTATAGTAAAATGACCAACAATACATCTTTAAAACAAAATGACCAGCAATACATTTTACAGTAGAATTACTAACAACACATTTTATAGTAAAATGACTAATCTTACATTTTATCTGTAATTGAAGGGACACGATTGCGTTCAAAATATATTTAGTTGAAACCATAAATTTATATTCAAAATTAGATTTCGGTATTAAATAACCTATATAGGTGTTGATATGCTGCTAAACAAAATCAACTAAACCAAGAACTTCAAGAGATGTAGAGAAAGTTACATCCCTAAAATATAAAAAAATTCCTGTATGACACTATGTTGCAAAAGACGACAATAGCATCGAAGTACTCAATCGAGCTTTCAAAAAAGATTTTAAAGATCAAATATTTAGTTTCTTTGGAATGGAAGTGTTGCAATAACGCTTCTTGGGTGGCAATCTGAAATCAAACTTTACTGCGTCGGAATATGGTCAGATAAGAAGCAAGAAGATTGAAAATGAATGTGCGTTTGAAATCACTCAGTGTCTGCGAATAATCAAAGAATAGATCTTATATCAATTTTTCAACTTGGGATGCATCCAGGTTGTTTTACGGTTTATGGGTTGTTGGAAAAACACATGTGTAATGCTAGGATCAAATTCGTCACAGAAGGAATGAAGACGCAGACAGTTTACTGAACCAAAACCAAGAGGTATGATTTATGTCTACCGGCTTGTGCATTCGAATAAACAAAATCTGCCATCCGGTATTTCTTTTAAGATTCTCCAATGAACAAGCCGGTAGATATAATTCATGCTGTTTGAAAAAAAAAAAGAAAAATTAAGTGTCTAAAGAAATATGTGTAGCCAGTAAAATATAACGTTTAAAGTAATAAATACTCTAAAAAAATATAACTCCAGGTATTAAAAAATATATCCGGGTATAAAAAAATATATATCTCCGGGTATAAAAAAATATATATATCCGGATATAAAAAAAATATATCCAGGGATAAAAAATTATATCTCCGGGTATAAAAAAAATATATCTTCGGGTATAAAAAACAAAATTTTATTTTTTATACCCGGAGATATATTTTTTGTTTTCTTTTTGAATTTGTAGGTCTGATGAATTGGATCGTGATAATGATTCCAATGTAATAAATTATAACCATTGAATATTAGTGTTTGAGCCTTTTATGTTATATTTATTCTTGTACATAGAGCTCCACTTGGATGTTATTTTCTTGGAAATATATATATATATATATATATATATATATATATATATATATATATATAGAGAGAGAGAGAGAAAGAAAGAGAGAGACTACTAATATATATATATATATATATATATATATACCCAAAGCAAGTAATGACGATAGTGAACACACAGCCAAACGATCACATACACATTTATTACAAAAAACAAATGCATATTAATTACAAACAAGACGAAGGCATATTATAAAGAAATATACTACTCCAACTGATCCGAATAAAAAAATCAAATTAATTATCTGTTATAAAAAATTTAAGACAGCCAACCTTATCCTCAAAAATAACAACACACCAACGAAGTCAGAATTACAAAGAGCGAACATTATCTATGAGTTCAAATGCCCTTTAAGGAACTGCGTTCCTCACCAAACCGGACTCATAAATAATTACATCGGCTACACAACCACATGTTTATCCAGACGTCTTACGTTACACCTATCTGATCACAGCTCCATTAGAACCCATTTAAACACACACACTAGAAACATACTAGTAGAAAAGACAAATATATTAACTGCATCCACCTGCAAAAATAGACTAAAAATAATGAAAGCTTTAATAATAAAAAAGAAAAAGCCAACTCTTAACAATATTAACTACGAACAAATCCACAATGTGCTAACCGTATTCGAAAATTTTAAAAATCCCTACCATACACTAAGTCATACACAGAATGCACACACTCAATTAAGCTGAAAAATCGAATCATCCTTGATAATGGCTAAAGGTATAGCCGAAAGCGATCGGAAATATAAAACATTTGGACACTCTTTGTCCAGAAAAGAAAGCTCTTGCTAGCACACAAGAAAAATTAAATAAAAAGCTTAACCGTAGTAATATAATATATATATATATATATATATATATATATATATATATATATATATATATATATAGAGAGAGAGAGAGAGAGAGAGAGAGAGAGAAAGAGACAAAGAGAGATTTGTATATTTCTTTTGTTCTGCATAGAAAATTGTTATATACCGTACGTATGAACATTATGCCCCAATCCTCATAAATACGTTGGACACTATAGTAAGTGGGGGTAATATGCTTACCTAAGTAGCTCCCCACTAACAGTGGTTCCTACCTTCACGCCGCTGGCGAGTATTGTATTTTGTTATATTATAAATATTACAATTTCATTTCCAAGCTCATTCAGCAGTAACCTTTCATAGATTGCAACAGAAATGATCAATACATAATATATATATATATATATATATATATATATATATATACCAGTTTGTGACTAGAAAAGGAGGATATAAATCCAGGGAGAGCTCAATGTAGACTACAGTGCATTATAATGATAATAACAAAACGGAGAAATTCTCTGTTTTCTTTTATATATATATATATATATATATATATATATATATATATATATATATATATATATATATATATATATATATATATATATATATGTATAAAACAAAAGGAAAACTTACTTTAGCGGACACGTTTAGTTCTCTGGAGGACTTTTTCCAGGCAAATGTGAGGATTTTATCTTTTTAACAATTATTTACATACAGAGCAAAATGTTATTGTTTTCCCAATTTATTAAGATGAGAAACGTTCATAAATATTCATAAAGTTAGCTGATAAGTCAGTCAAGCTATGGATGACACGAAGTGACACAATTCAATGTTTAATATACGAAAGTGAGTAAGTGATATTTTTGAATTATTTTTTTTTCTGATGAGAAACGATTGAATTGCATAATAAAATCTTACAGAACCAAATATGATCTCGTAGGTCTTTAAAATAAAACAGATAAGTTGGTACTTCCGTAATATAGTGGTGGTAGTGGCTGGATGTTTGTATCCGAGTATGCCTGTATACTAGGGCGGCTATCCAATCCCTGTTGCAGACACCTGCTCAGGCAGAGGACCTGTTGCATGTTTACATCCCCATGGCTTTCGGCCAAATTAGGTAAAGGTATTTTTGCTGAAAGTCGAGTGCCCGACATGTTGAATGTGAATTCATTACTTGAGATATATATATATATATATATATATATATATATATATATATATATATATATATATATTTTATTTCCTGCTGATCGAGCAGTGGAAGTGTGAATCAGTCTAATAATGTAATAAAAAGAAGAAAACGTTTGAGGCACCAAAGAATAAAAGCGGAGGAATGAAGAATGGAAGAAAAGAAATGAAATATGATACAATAAAAAGAAAAAAAGAGAAAAAGAAAGAGAGTGAGTCATCATAGGCTCAAAGAAAGAAAGAAAGAAAGAAAGAAAGAAAGAGAGAGAAACGAGAAAATGGAAAGAAAAAAGTCAGTGATGATAGAATGAAGAACAAAGAAAAACGAGAAAAATGATAGGAAAAAGAATGATTGATGTCAGAATAAAGAAAGAAAGAAAGAAAGAAAGATACGAGAAAATGAAAGAAAAAAGAAGGAAGTCTAATAGAATCAAAACAAGAAAAAAGAAAGAGATAAGAAAAGGAAAAGAAACGGAAGTGTTTATAAAATCAAAACTAAAGAAAGAAAGAGAGAAAAAGAAAAGACAGTGATGTATCATAGAATTACAAAGAATGAAACGAAGAAATAAACGAGAAACAAGAAAGAAAAGAGAGTGATTGATGATAGAAGCAAAAAGAAACGAAGAAAGAAAGAAATAAAAAAACAAGAAAATGAAAGAAAAGTAACTGGCGATAGAATCAAAAGAAGAAAAAAGAAAAAGAAGAAAAAGAAAAGAAAACAAGCGATGAAATGATCAAAACGAAAGAAAGAACACCGAAAAAGAAAAAGAAAAAGGAAAAAGGTATAGTTACAATATAAACAAAAAAGAAAAAAGAAAGAGATAAGAAAGAGAAAAGAAATGAGTGATAGAATAAGATAAAGAATGTTGACAAAACAGAAAGAGAGAAAGAAGATGCTAAATACAAAGAATTAAAAAGTGAGAGAGAAAGGTTTAATTGATAAAACAATCTAATTATCCTTTCTTTCCGTCTTTCTTTTTCGAGCGGGGTCAGGATGGAATCTGTGCAAAACTAAATAGGTATCATTGAGTCTTTCATTAATAAATTTCGCATAATGACAAAAATAAATCCACGTACCGTCCCATCACTGGTGGTGACAGCTGCAAGTTCAGATTCGACAAACCTATCAACTGTGTTGTAAATTATTCATTTCTCAGACCGGCCACCCACGCCTCGATTAGTCTAATTACGCAAACGTTCCATATCAAATCAACATCGGATTATGGCCATTTTATAGTAGAGGAAGATGGCGTCACTAACTTGGCGGTATTTAAGCCATTTTCTTTGATTTTAATAAAAAAACTCTTAATGCTTGTTACACAAAAATTGAAGAGATTTCGAAGACTGGGAGAAAATAAAATAAAGAATAATAAATATTTTATTTATATTGAAATATTGTATTGTTAAAATATTGAAATATTGTATTGCCAAAACGATTAATAATTTTAAGAAAAGGGTTCGAGTTTATATAACCTATTTGAATACTTCCAGATATTTAAGATATATATCTATCTATTTATCTATCTTTGAAAATCTAAAGAGTTGCTTGAACAATTACAAAAAGGTTAGTCTACGAAACTCTGAAGTCGGGTTGCTGAATATAACATCAACTCTAGAGTTTCGTAGACGAACATTTTTGTAATTGTTCAGTCCCCTCTTCAGGAGATTTTCAGAGAGTGATAGATAGTATGTATGATGGCTGCCCATTCCTAAAATGAGTATGACCAACGCTGACAGGTTGGCTCAATGTTTCCGCTTCTTTACTCAATGTTTTCGGATCTTAAAGCCTGCAATTGACTTGCCATGTTTATTGCAGGTGTCTCAAACTTAGTGGTTTTGTACAGAGCTTTGCCTGTTTTCCAAAGGCTGTTCAGCTTGCTCGTAAGTTTTCATGCAACAGGTCAAACTAGTGCAATGTCTGTAGTTTTTCTAACAAACCTTGCATGTTAAATATCTCTGACTGATGCCAAATCGGTCGGGTTTCTATCCCAGCTTGAAGCAATCGGATGTCTAGCCATACTGAAGAGCTATGACACAGCGAAACAGTCGGCGTGTGGATGACTATATATATATGCTCTCGGAAAATCCGATTGAGCTCTCTGGAGAAGATGGTAATTTTAAAAACAGTGACTCCTGCTACTATTAACGCATTGCTCTTCAACTATGAATTGGCTAGTGGCGTATTTTGTATAGAAATCTCTAAAATTCCCCTTTCTCTCTGCCATGCGACGATAGACTAGGGGTAAGATCTCTAACTGATGCCAAGTCTGTCGGGTTTCGATCCCGGCGTAAAGCAATCGGATGTCTAGCCACACTGAAGAGTGTTGATACAAAGAAAACACAGGTATATATATATATATATATATATATATATATATATATATATATATATATATATATATATATATATATATATATATATATATATATACACAGGGGTATACAGATATATATATGGATATATATATATATATATATATATATATATATATATATATATATATATATATATATATATATACATACATATATATATATATATATATATATATATATATATAAATAGGGTATATATATAAATAGGTATATATGTATATATATATATATATAAGAACACCGGATTATATGTCTTACTATTCTTTATATTTATATATATATATAGGTTTATATATATATATTATATATATATATATATATATATATATATATATATATATATATATATATATATATATATAGGTTATATATATATATATATATATATATATATATATATATATATATATATATATATATATATATTTATATGTGGTGTATCAAAAATACTTTTACAAACTTTGGAAGCGGGTTCCTTACATCAAAAAAAGAACAAAAATCCTTATAAGCATATGTCCAAAAATCCTTCGTTTTTGAGTTAGACGTATGCCCAAACCACGAGACAATTAGCTTAATGGCCCACATAACAAAAGTCATCATTCGAATTCTGATGAATAGAGAATGCAACAGAATAAGGTCAAAACCCTGTGAGTTTGTCAAAGACACCGGAACAATGAACGTTCATGTGTTATCAGAAAGAGCAATACAAATGCAGAAGGACGTGTACCTGTGTTTTATACAAAAACGTTCGACAAAGTATGCCACAAAAATATGTTAGAACTGCTCAGAAACCTTGACATATTCGGGAAAGACATTAAAATAATCTAGAATCTATACTGGTAGCAAACTTCCTGCATACGGACCGAAAATGAGTTCAGCAGATATACAAAAATAGAAAGCGGTGCAAGACAAGGGTGTTTCTTCTCACCGGATTTATTCAACTTATACAGCGAGGCAATTGTAAGAGAATTAGAAGTCCTACCAGGATTTATCATTGGCATCCACAGTCTTAACAATATAAGATATACAGATGACACATTGCTAATAGCAAACATTGAAATGAAACTACAAAGCCTCTTACAGAAGGTAGCGAAGAAAAGCGAGAAAAAAGGACTAAGCATAAATTGCAAAAAGACAGAATGCATGGTTATCAGCAAAAGAGTGAGCCCAAAATGCAAATTACAGATCAGGAATAGTAAAATCAGGCAAAGTACAGAAATTTAAATATCTGGGAAATGTTCTAACAGAGGACGGAAAGTGTGACACTGAGATCCGAAGACATTATGGCCAAAGCTGCATTTCGAAAGCTAAGCAGAATATTAAGAGAAAGAAGACGAAAAGAAACACAGAAAAGAGTACTGAACTGTTATGTGATATCAATCCTCTTATATGTCAGTGAAAGCTTTTAATAAGTAAAATCAGTCTACCGGTATGGCAGCGAATGCTGGACAATCTCCTCAAAGATGAGGAAGAGACTTGAAATGTGATTTTACCAGAAGATTCTGAGGATACCATGGGCCGAACATGTGAGCAACGACGAGGTTTTAGAGAGAATGGAAACAAAAAAGAAAATTATACTTAACATCAGGAGGAGGCACTTGAAATTTCTGGGCGCGTAATGAGAAATAAGGGCTTGGAAAATCTGGTACTCACAGGACAGACAGAGGGAAAGAGGGACAAAGGAAAGCAACGCGTAACATACTTGATGGACTTCAGCAAATGGATGGCAGAACAGGGTTTGGGAGAAATAACAAAAAAACAAAATATATTAAAAGCTACAAGGGACAGGAAGATGTGGAGGGCCACAATCGTCTACATTCAGAAAGAACACGACACATAAAAGAAGTTTTAAAAAAGTTTACGGTAAATAACGCTCGATTGTCATGTAGACAAGTTACATTTGCCATTCGTGTAAATCTGTGGCATGTATGTCTTCAATGTTCCGTTTAACAATGGCAGGATATTCATATTGTGAGCAGGCAGTATTGACTTTTACATATGGCCGCGCAAATGGTAATGGATGCGAGGCTGTACGGCTGTATCAGATTGGATTCTCAGACCGAAGGCAGTAGAGTCATCTAGCATTTTCTGCTGTTTAATGTCGCATTGCTGAGACAGGATCCGTAGCATTACATACTATGAATCGAGGAAAGCCGAGATCCGCTCGTACGCCTGACCACGAAGAATACATTCTATAGGCTGTCGGAGACGATACAGCACACGTCAAGTGGCCCAAGCATATCATATATTTCATACTACGGCATGGAGGGTACTTCAAGAGCAACTCCTCTATCCGTATAATTTGCTTTATGGTTTTAAATCTCGTGATTGCTAATAGAACATAATCTTTAGCTAAATTGAAGACATAAGTCACAAATATTGAATTGGATGAACATACATTCTTTCTTCCATTTTATATTAGTAAACCATTCTATGGCTTCTGCTGTTTCATGTCACTGGTTAATTCCTAAAGTATTTTTGAATATTTGCATGCTCTCTCAAGGATAGCTTTATTAATTTTACTTATATTATTTTTAGTTATATATATATATATATATATATATATATATATATATATATATATGTGTGTGTGTGTGTGTGTGTGTGTGTGTGTGTGTAGTGGGGCTGACACAAAATTATATCAACGTGTTCTCTTTCTCAAAGGGTTTTTCAGTGATTCATACGACAAATGGTGCCAAGATGGCTAAACGTCTTATCAGAAAACCCGGAAAAAGAAACTCACTTAGTTTTATGTTATATATGTATATATATATATATATATATATATATATATATATATATATATATATAGCTGGCCACTCGTATTCAAGGATACCTGTCTATTAGAGTGTCTAGTCAATCCCTATTGAAGACGCTTGATCAGGAGCATTTGCGTTTATTCAACGCCCACAGATCCATCCTGTAGTTTATACTGAAACTATACTTAGCAGACCTTAGTTATAGTTTCTGGGAAAGAGCGTGATATCTAGCGTAATACACAATTTGAACAAGGCCAGCACGCTTAGACCCTCGGTCACGATGACATGTGACTTCGTGGTAGCACAGCTATCGACGAACCCAAGGGTTACGTCTACCCAATTTCAGTCACAAGGTTTGGGTCAACCTGTGGTATGGTTTTCAGACATTTTCTAAAGGTGCCGTACGCTGGTTCGACCCCTCCAAGTCCGATAACATCAGGAAATCTATTAGTGTAGACTCCCTGTTTATATATTAAGCAGTATATTTATTTATTTTCATCTACAGGCCTGAATATTCGAGAAATCGTATTAATGGGGCTCTTCAGCAGGAATTGAGTATGCGTCCCTCTCAGGACCGGTAGACGAAAATAAATAAATATAGTGTTCAATAAATAAACGGAGAGTTTATACACATATGAGTATCCACTAAAATATCATTTAAATATATATGTATAGTGATTTTCCAAGCGTACCTTGGATGTGGCACAAGGCCGAAATTGAGAGGCACACAGTGAAGATCGAACTAACTACGCAGTCGTAATTGTTCTCGCGAGACAAGCTTGCTAACCATTACACCATCTCGAGGTGCCCAAAACATGTATGTATATGTCAATGCCTCCCTCTCATGAGAATTTAACAGCGTTAAAGAAATATACGACTTATTGGACTTACGATTACTTAAAGTATAAGTAATAAAATTTGTCGGATTAGTAAATAAAAATCCATAACTGGAACGACATAGTGGGGATGACACAAAATGTGTTTAACCTGTTCTCTTTCTAGCGGAATAACTCAAAGGGTTTTGCAGTGATCCATACGACAAATGGTGCCAAGATGGCTGAACGTCTTATCTAAAAACCTGGAAAAAGAAACTCAGTCAGTTTTATGTTTTTTCTTTTGTTTATATATATATATATATATATATATATATTAACATTTTTATAGGATAGACAATTATCCCATGGAGTTAGGATTTGGACAATTTTGCTGTTACAGCCGATATATATATATATATATATATATATATATATATATATATATATATATATATATATATATATATATATAACGGAATGGGTATATACAGGTAACTATATGAGCGAGCCAGTGTATGCAAATATATATAGTCTATAGTGTAAGAAAAAATAAGAGTGCTTAATGTTAAATAACAGAGCTATTTAATATATATATATTAAGATATGTACGGATCTTAAAAAATACTTTTAAAAAATAAATATAATAATTCCAGCATTTGAAAATTGTTTCGGCAAGAAACTTGGAGTTGTGCAATTAATGTAAGATGTTATGTATATTTCTCAATATATATATATATATATATATATATATATATATATATATATATATATATATATATATATATATATGTATATGTATGTATATATATTGCTTATATTTTGGGACCATGTTTTCATTAAGACATGATTCATTAAGTAATTTAGACAATTTTTTTTTAATAAGGAAGAAAATTACAATGTTGATGCATGTTGATTTTATTTCTAATACTTTCGACATTAGTAAAATTTTGTCATCTGTGTCTTTTTTTCTAAGACAAAAATTGTTGTGTTCATCATTTTTCTATGACAAAATTGTCTTCATTTGAAAATTAATTTTTTTACGTGTGAAGTCAAAAACGCTATGGTTATGTACTGTACAATTTTAAATTTTATCATGTAGTCGCCAATTTTTTGTCTTTCACCAAATTGTCTGTCCTAATTTTGACATTCTTATACTTAAAGAAAACAATTACTTGGAAAAAAGAACTTCTTAACTCTGAGAAATATCTAATGTCGTGACGTCCAAAGCATAAAGTCGAATTACCATAAGGATATACAGTGTGCATTCATGTCAAATGACGACAACCTGGTAAAAAAACAAACAGAAGGAAAAAGAACTATTTGCCTGACTTACGAACCTTCAACTAGTTTGCTCAACCGTCCTGGGTAAAACGATAAACTACGTCCAACAGCAAAGCCTCTGATCAGGGGGTTTTGAGGAGCATGGAATCACCTCTCAATTGCTGGTGTTCCCAGGCCCACTCTGACCCGGGTTGGTAGCACCTGTTAGGATCCCAACTATGGACAAATAGTTAACCCCCAAACTGAGGTAAAAAGCATTATAAAAGTGTAAAAATAGGTTTTAATATCAGAAATACTGTGTAAAAAATTTATTACCAGAAATAAATTTTTGAAGGAAAAAACTATTACCAGCAATATATTTTTGAAAAAAAAATATTACCAGCTATACGTTTTGGAAAAAAATACATTTTTAAAAATAATATTACCAGCTATATATATTTGAGGAAAAATATTAACAGAAATAGATTTTTGACAAAACAAAATATTACCAGGAAAAAATGTTGACGACATTAAATAACCGATTGAGGTTGATATGCCGTAAATCAAAACAAACCAAACAAAAACAAAAAAAAAAAAAAAAAAAAAAAAAAACTGTTAGGGTCCCAGATTTGGGCAAATAGTTAACACCCAAAACACTATGAAAGTGTAAAAATAGGTTTTAATACCAGAAATACTTTGCAAAAAAAAAAAAAAAATGTTATTACCAGCGATATATTGTTTAAGAAAAATATTACCAGCAATACATTTTTGAAAAAAAAAATATTACTACCAATAAAAATTTTGTCGGCATTAAATAACCCATTGAAATTGATATGCTGTAAACCAAACCAAACCAAACCAAACAAAACTAGCTTGCTCAACGGTCGCACGAAGCTTTAATGAAAGACATCATATCTAGTGAACTCTTCCCATTCACTGTAGAGCACGTATTCTGACAAAATCGCCAGTCCCACTGAATAAAGCTTTTCATCGACCCAGAGAGCATTCTACAATATGAGCCAATCAATCGGCAGTTTAAATATCAGAGAAGTGTTTTAACAGAGCGTGGAAATTGCGACAAAGAAATCATATTGGAATAGAAAAGGATGCTGAGGATTCCATGGACGGAACGTATAAACAACAAATAAGTCTTGGAAATGGAAACAAAAATTATAATTATACTTAGAGTCAGGAAAAGACAGCTGAAGTATCTTTGATATATAATGTAGAAGAAATGCTTGGAGAATTTGACACTCTGAGGATATATCAAAGGCAAAAAAGGTAGTAGGGGGCAGAGGTCCACTCACGAGCGAATGTGCGAAGGGATGGTGGAATGAAAGTTGGGAGGGATGGAAAAATGTGTCTTAGTGGCTTTACTGTCTTGCATGGGGTGAAAGGATTAGAAAAATATTCAATATAATTATAGGCCCCAAATTACTTATCCTATTCTTTATGTCTTTATCCTTACGTAGCAAATTAGTCACAAATATGATGAATAGTTGGGGAATAGTCATATACTTTAACTATTTGTAATATTTAAGCTCCGGTAAAGAGAACTTTTGTGGAGTCATCCCTCTAAAGAGTCTATGTTGAACTCTTCCGCCTACTATAAGATTAGTAGGAGAGAAGGCGTTGGGGGAACGGTCGACCAGACTGTTCATTGCTGTCAAACTCTCCGCCGAGGCGGAGAGCAACCCGGACGAGGCTTTGCCCCAGGGCAAAGTTTTGTCAGTGGAGGTAGACTGTTCCTGAACCCGTTCAGGCGGGTTCAAAGGGAATATTTTTGGCCGACCTACGGGCTCCGAGAAACCACAATTAACCAGCCTTGTGCCACATACATCCCTCGTGGGGGAGCTGTTAAATATTAATAGTTGATCAGACGGTTCATTTCTGTCGAACTCTCTGCCACGAGCGGAGAGGAACCCGGACGAAGCTATACCGAAGGGTAGAGTTTCGTCCAGGGAGGTAGACAGACCCTGAACCCGTTTATACGGGTTTTAAGGGAATATTTTTGGCCGACCCTACGAGCTCGGAGAACCCATGGTAAACTCGGCCTTGTGCCACATACTTCCTTCGTGGGAGGGGGGTGCTGTTAAATATTAACAGTCGAATCGATTGTTCGGGCTGTGCTATTGAACTCTCTGTCTTTGGCAGAGAGGAACCTGGACGAAGCTTTTTCGAAGGGCAAAGTTTCGGCCGGAGACGTAGACAGTCCCTAAACCCGTTTATGCGGCTTCTAATGAATATTTTTAGCTACGCCTACGGGCTCGCAGAACCCGCGGTAAACTTGGCCTTGCGCTACATACATCCCTCGTTGGTGGGGGGGGGGTCTGGACAGTCTCTGGACCCGTTTATTCGGATTCTAAGGGAATATTTTTTGTCCGAGCCTGCGGGTTTGCAGAACCCACGGTAAACTCGGCCTTGTGCCACATACATCCCTCGTGGGTGGTTGTTAAATATTAACAGTCGAATAGATCGAACGCTGAGTCAACCGAGACACACTCATTAGTCGTGTAATAATCTTCTGTTGTACTTATTGTTTAATATATAATATATCTGCAATACTTGTAGACACTGGCAAATAAATTATGATTTAACGTGAAGTCCGTTTTTTCGAATCCTTCGTCGCCAAGATGTCGTGACCAAGTAAATGGTTAAAGAAATAACAAAACAAGTATTGCAGATATATCATATATTAAACAGTAAGTACAACAGAAGAGTATTACACGACTAGTGAGTGTGTGTCGGTTGACCCAGCGTTCAATCTATTCGACTGTTCCCCTAAGGCCTTCTCTTTTTCTAATCTTATATTAGGCGGAAGAGTCCAACATAGACTCTTTAGAGGGAGAACACCACAACAAGAACAACACATGTAACCTCGTAGTAAATACCATCGATGTCAAGTCTTGTCCCTGTCGACAAGCTTCAGGGCTTTTTCAAATATCTCACTCTCTGTTATGGCTCTCTCTCTCTCTCTCTCTCTCTCTCTCTCTCTCTCTCTCTCTCTCACCCATCCGCTTTAATCGAATAAGGCAAGGAAATTCGGTTAAATAGATGTCGAATCATGAAGAATTCCTGGTAGTAACTTTGACAAACATCGCCTATGCCCACGTTTGAAATCCCTTGTTGCCCGTCCAGCAATGTGACTCTGACGATATAGCGATCTGTTGTCCGTTGAATAGTGATCGCAATTCAGCGGCCATGGCCGTCACCAGGGAAGGTATTCTTTTTAACCTAGCCCTAACTTCCAAAGCTTCGTCTTTCTTGATAATCAAAGAGACAAGCTTGGACCTTGATAAGGCTGCCTCCACACTATCTCTCGATTCGATAGCTCTTTCGATTCGCATGCCTTTTGCTCTATCGAGGTATGTAATTTGAACCTACGTCAACAATGCGATTTATGTTAGTATCAAAGACAGTATTTCAATTATCTTTGAAGTCTACCCACTATGACAAGATATCTCTCTGAATTGAACATAGTTGTGGTGAGTCACAGTGAACTTTGTTCAGTTCATCCTTGAAAGAACCATCTTGGGAGGTGCCACCGATTTCTAAGGGGAACATTATTTTTAAAGGTGAACGAAAAATGGGACCCACCCAGAATAAAATTGCTTTCAGATCTTTTTTGGCCCCATTAAATTTGGCCAGTGGGTAGGGGGACATACTAAATGCTTTGTTCGTTACCTTAATCATATCTCATAGGAATGACGGTCGAACTAGTCCCTAACCACAGCCGTGCCAGCGAGTACTCTGAAAGCATAGAAAAAAAAACATTGGGTTCACATATCTTTCATATCTCGTGTAGAATATTGGTTAGCTTGCCAGTGGTCTGATACACAAGTAGGCTAGTGTAACTAAAAGCCAACGATATTTAGTCACCCCCCACTCCACGAGGGCATCATGTGGCACAAGGCCGGTTTAACGTGGGATCTCCGAGCCCGTGTGCTCGGCCAAAAATATACCCATTGAACCCGTATAAACGGGTTCAGGGTCGGTTTACCTCCCCGAAAGAGAATCCGCCCTTCGGCGTAGCCTCCTTCGGGTTCCTCCCCGCCCGAAGGCAGAGAGTTCAACCGATCAGCCAGTCGACTGACTGACCAACTCGTAGCCAAAAGACTTGAGTCATTTCATGGAGCAATATATGGGTGAATAAAGACCACTAATGCAAATGTATTGGGCAGGTCCATTCTAAGAAAAATGTACCAACCTTACTGGTGTATTAGGCACTAAGCTAAAAAAATCAGGTAAAATCGGCTGACAGTAACTTTTTTTATCTAAATTTGATCTTCTGCTCATTGTTAACGAGGAAGCACAGTGGAGTAATGGATAGCGGCTCGGATTGAGGAATCAGAGTTCGAATTCCAGTCGAGTCCATTCCATTCACTTACGTGCTAATATTCTTGGGACCTTTCCCAAGAATATGAATCCTCTTCTCCCCTCCAACAACTATGGGCAAATAGCAAGACAGACAAGGTTCTATAGCCTCGGATGGCAACTGGTTTACCGCAGAAAGAAATGGCAACCTAATGCGAGAAAAAATCTTTCATCATGTATCTTTCGTTGGCACATAACTGACTGGCAATTGTTAACTGGAGCAAGAAATGACTTTTCATTTGAACGTCTCCAAAATTAAACTACCCTCTTTTAATCGAACATTTTTGCATTCTTTCAGCATGGCTGATGCTAACCTCCAGGAGAGTAGCTCATTGTTTAACGTTTTTCACGGACAAGAAATGGAACGACTATATAGAACCAATGTAAAAGTTGGTTCATTGTGTCGTGCAAGACAATTTTCCTCGTTAGAATCTACCATACACGTTTATAAGTCTATCATTCGTCTGTGCTTCGAACATTGCTGCCATATCTGGTTTGGTGATTCTGCTATGTATCTAGAGATTCTTGACAAAATTCAAAAAAGAATCTGCAATGTTAGAGGTCCTGACCTGGCATCTCAGTTGCAGTCGCATTCCCCACCGCCGTAACGTAGCTTCCCTTTGTCTTTCCGATAAATGTTTTCATGGGAATTATTCCAGAAAGCGTTCCTCTTTTTATTCTGATTTCAAGAATTTAGGGACAATATTAGAATGACAGATTGGTCACATCATATTGATGTTGAAATTACTAGATGCAACCGCAAGTTCTATGCCATAAGTTTTTCTCTCTCTCTCTCTCTCACATCTTGTTTGTGAAATTTTCTTTCAGCTTCTCGATTTCCTCTCAACTATGATCTTCAAAATTTTCACAAACACACATACAGACACAGAGAGAGAGAGAGAGAGAGAGAGAGAGAGAGAGAGAGTTTTAAGCTATGCTATATTTATGGGTGAAAGTGCTCAATATCAGGGATAGAGCGCCTGTAAATATAAAAGTGGACATTAAAGTCAACACCCAGAGGCAACAGTTTGTTCCATGCTTAAACACAGTCGTCAGGCATGAAATAGACTATATATATATATATATATATATATATATATCTTTTTGTTTCATTTTCGGTAGCAGATCATTTGCAGAAGATTCATGTTCTCCGTTAGAAAGAGAAAGACATAGGGATGGACAGACGAACGATACACAAAGAAAAATTGATAGAAGAAGAGGAGAAACGAGAGAAAGAAGAAGAAGAAGAAGAAGAAGAAGAAGAAGGCTAAAAATTAGAAGATACAGATGCAAAGAAGGGAGAAGACTAAAGAGATGTCATAAGAAAAAGAAGTGGAAGAGAAAGAAAGCAATGCAGAAATTATTGGGGAGATTTTTTTTTAATTCAAGGGACGCAACTCCACCATGAAAAAACGAATGATCCTTTTATTTATTTAACTAGAGGTGACACAGTACTGATAGAAGACACGGAAAAGAAATTACAAAATCTTCTACAGAAGGTATCGGCGGAGTGTGAGAAGAAAGGATTAAGCATAAACTACAAGAAGACAGAATGCATGGTCATCAGTAAGAAGAAGAGACCGAAATGGGATTTGCAGGTAGGGAAGTTTAAATATCTGGGAAGCGTGTGACAGAGGAAGGTAAGTACGACACATGAGATCCGTAGACGTATTGAGATGGCTAAAACACTTTTCAAAAGCTGGGCAGAGTATTGCGAGACAAGAGGATTTCTTTGCTAACGAAGAAAATAATACTGAGCTGTTACGTGACATCTGTCCTTCTTTACGGCAGCGAATGTTGGACGATTTCCTCAAAGATGAAGAAGAGACTCAAGGCGACGGAGATGTGGTTCTATAGAAGGATGCTAAGGATATCACGGACCGAGCGTGTGAGAAACGATGAGATCTTTGAGAGTTTGCAAACAAGGAGTAGGCTTATACTTGACATCAGGTAGAGGCAGCTAAGTTTCTGGGACACAATGAGGAAGGAGGGCCTGGAGAATCTGACACTCACGGGTCGAATAGAGGGAGAGAGAGACAAGAGACAGCAGCGAGTGACGTACCTGGCGAGCTTGAGCAGGTGGATGACAAAACGTGGCCTGGGGAGGAAGCAGAGAGAAGGAATTTGTTGAGAGCTGCAAGGGATAGAGGGAGGTGGAGACCCATGATCGCAAACGTCCTTAAAGTACATGGGACATAAAAAAAGCTTAAAAGCCGGCCTATCTGGCGGAATTTAAGCTAGCTCCTGTGGAGGCCTCTTGATTGGACGTCCATCACAATAGACAGGGAGGAGTAGATACGATAGGCAACAATAAACTAGAGAAGAATTCAAAATTGATCGCTGCATTTAAGTATTGCATTAATATTTAAGCTTACTTTTTAAAAGTTCAACGATAATTCTTCTGTCGCCACTTAATTTAAAGACAATTTGATGTGCGTAGGTCCTTTCTTTTTGTACAGACAATTATTTTTTATTTTTATTTCATGGGCGACTTTTGCTGGATTTCGCAATTAATTTCGATTATTCCCAAATTTATTTCCAAGTTATAAAAATTGTTATCGTACAAAAAACAAAGAATATCGTCACAGAAAATCACGTAAAAAAAATCGCCAAAAACAATCACAGTAATGAAAACTTGGGAATCCAAAATTTCAAGATTCCAGGTTTGGATCTGGCCAGGAATATTTTCATTTACTCACGGAGTCGACCTGATTCCAAAATGGTAGAATATTTTGGGGCTACGGCCTCTAGGAGTAAAGTTGAAAATGTGTGACACAGTGACATTCACATTTATTATATAGAAGAAAATCATTTCAGTGGGCGAAAAAAAATGTCCTTTTTTCCTTCGTTTTAGTCCCACCAATAGGATGCAGAAAAATCGTTAGAAACAAAGAAAAGATTACGGAACTGTTACATAATATTAGTCCTCCTATATTGCAGATGAAGTTGAGATTTGAAACAACAGAAATATGGCTCTACAGAAGGATGCTGAGAATACCATGGACCGAAGATGTGAGCAACGATGAAAAATGGAAACAAAAAGGATACTTATATTTGACATCATAAAGAGACGGTTGATCTTTCTAAAACACATAATGAGGAAAGAGGGCTTGGAAAATTTGATACTCACAGGACGGATTGAAGATAGGAGGATATTTAAAAACGACGCCTAATCTAGCTAGCGAGCTTGTGTAAATGGATGGTGGATCAGGTTTTGGGAGAGATAGCGAAAAGACAAAATTTATTAAAAGGTAAAAAGGACAGGATGTTGTGGAGGGCTATGATTGATAACGTCCTGAACGGACACGGCACATAGAAGAAGACGATAGGATAAGGCTTAGTAAGAAAGGCAAGATCTTCCAAAGGTTTAAGAATAGGGTCACTCTCACGACAGGTGACGTTTCGTAATGTTTTTTCGACCATTTTTGCAAGTTAAGAATAACAATGTCTTTGAAAGTGGAATAGATGCAGTCATTCACTTTTTAAGATTATGCTTTAAGCTGGCATGTAAAATTATCAGAACAGACCCCGCAATAATATATCGTGATCTCGCTTCACATCAAGATCAACAGGTGAGCCATAAATTTAACAGACAAAAGAGAAGAAAATTTAAATGGTACTAGCAGCATGGCCCGGCGTTGCCCGTGTTTGATTCAAAAATCGTACGACTCATACAGCAATCGCTATCACTTGACTTAAAATATTTTTGCCCTTCCTTGCCTTTAAAGGAGTGCCCTTTGTCGTGCTGATGTTGCTACATGCCTTACTTCTTACCTATCTCACACTGCAAATTTTTCTAAGCTCTATACTAAACATTAAATATGTTACGAAAAAAGAACTAAACAAAATGAACACAAAACGACCAGCTTTAAAAAAGGACTCGTAACTGGAAAAACCGAATGAAAAAAGAATGTTAACAACAAATACTTTTTCACGCCCAACCCAGTTCTGCGGAATCAGAATCAACGTTGAGTTTAAGCAAGCGAATGAGCCAATTGGAGTAAAGTGCCATGCAGATTTAAATTTTTCCCACTTGTGACGAATGCAGCTATCGATTTTTTTGCATGCTGGTTAACATTCGTGTCAGTCAGCTGTTGGCTCTCACGCTGGCCAATAGAATATTCCTGCCTATTCGTGGCAGCCAGCTATTGGGTCTCACACTGGCCAGTACAAAATGGCCGCAAACTACA